GGTATTTTTAAAGGAAGATTGTCAGGTGGGTTTAGACCTAGTTTCAGCCATCTATGATGCTGTGAGTGCTAAAGTTAAGAAAAAGTGTTCCTGGCAGGGTTGGCAGTTCTTAAAAAGCAGTTTAAATCTTACACCTAGGTCACTTAACATGTGTCATGTATAGTCTCTAAAAAGCTGAGCCGCATCAGAACCTATACAATTATTGTGCAGTTAACACCTCTTAGGGCTGATAGAGTATTACAAGAGTATATGAGAGTATTATGAGCAACAGCCACTTCAGCTAGAATGAGCGTTCTCATAGGAGATCAGAGCTGAGCTGTAGACTCAGAGGAGCTCTTATGGAGGGGGAAGGGTTCTCCTTGCTGTGTTTACATTGCTTGATAGCATGAACCATATCAGCTAAAAGAGAAGAGAAAGAAGGGAGAGGAACAATCATCTTGAACAAATGTTCACCAACCACATAGCTAAAGTTCTTGTCCAGATTAATTTCAAATCGTTATGAGAATCAGATGGCAAAAATTGTTCTCCTAGTCTGTCAGTTGGTCCATGTCATCTCTCCCTGCGTTTCTCTGTGGGCTCACCAACCTGTCATGTGAACTTAGCTACTTATCTTCAATTTCAGGTCCCTTTACAGTTCTATCCGATTGACCGCCTCCCATACATTTTGTCTGTTGCCACCTCTGGTCAACAAAATCCAGCAACCTAGTTCATGCATGATAAATCTTCAACACTGTTTGCCAGGTGGTTTGGCAGTTCATGGAAAATGGTGTAAATATGTCTATGCTGCAGCTGATGGACAGGCATAACATTAGCCTAAGTGCAGTATGCACTTACCTGTCTACCTGCTGTGTGCTGGCATGCAGACAACCCATGCACTGCCTGTGTGGGTGCTGGGAAAGCACATGAAGGTGTGTGTGAGAGCAGACATATGTTGTCCAGGTGCCCCACCTTGAAGCTGCGCTTTGTTACCTGTGTGGCAAATGGGTCTATTTATTTATTTTGGTAGGCAGCTTCAGGAAGGCACCCACGATGAGGGGTAGACAAAGTCTGTTTGAATGAGCCATAAAGATAATTTATTCACGATAGAGTTATGGTACATTGGCATGGTCATGACAAGGAAGCATATATTAAATGTTGCCATTCTGTGCTGTGGTCAGTGTGGTTGTCATCAAGTTCTGTTTTATGTTAACTTTTCTGAAATATCAATAAGTAATAATAGCCAGTTTCTTCACTGTCACTAAATTCACATCACCACTCCAAAACTTCACGTTCTCAAATCGAATATATTCCTTTAAAGACTCTGTAAGTGCTTCTGTAAAGGCACAGTGATTAAAAAAGCATGCCTCCTCTCTAAAATTGAGAGATCGTGATTCATTCCTGCAATTGAGAGGTGAAATTTTCAGGTAGATGTGTCTATAAGCATAAAAAGAAAACAAAATTCAGGTTCAATCTTATGTGACTGCTTCATTATTCAAAGCTGTTATTGTCTGGAGAGATGTGCATGGAGAGTGGGGGTGATAAAAGCACATTTTATAAATATCCTTGTAATTGTTGCTCTACTGAAACATATGATGCCATCACAATCTCATCTGTTCAGTATAAGTGTTTAAATAGGGGCAAATTCTTTTCTGACTTACATGTGGAGCTGTGAGATTTGCAGGTCGTATGAATCACCAGAGAATGCAACTGGTATTTTTATAAACCTTTAGGTTTATTAGATGGGTAGCACTCACAATTACCCTTTATTTCTGTCAACAGAAAAGGTATAGCTTGGGCAGTGGCAGAACAAGCTCCCTGCAACGTTCTGCAACATTGAATCATAGGGAAAATTCTCCAAGTCAAAAGATAGTTGAGTGTCTGTTGCCCGTTCAGACTCTGGCCCCTTTTTGCAGTAACGATAAACTTTGTTCTGAAAGGTGATGTTGTTCTTATTTGATCTAAATTTCTAAATAAGCAGATAACGTGTTCATTTTATGGAGGTTCCTGAATAAGCATCAAATGATTTTTATTCTTTTGCTAGCAAACTGCGTACACATTAATATTTACTAATACAAAAAATTTATCCTCCATGTAAGACCACTCCCTGGCATATAATTACCAAAATGCCATGCCTTTAGCTATCTGTTTAGCTTTGTGATTAGAGGCTAGTCATTTTTCTTTTGAGCAATCTTTTTATTGCATGGCCTTTGTGAGATAGGGTCACTGATGTCCGCATATATGTAGTCGTAGTTGCCACACTGGATCAAATGAGGTTAGGCAGATAAAAAGTATTGAGCAGTTTATAAAACATGCCTGTACACAAAGGCTAAATGATAGCAATTTACATGCTGAAGTGGCCTGACTGCTGTACTGTTTGTCTCCAAAGAACTACTCTATCAAGATGCTGTGTGTGGCAGTTTCTGAGGTGGGACGTACCTTGAACACGCCCAAATGCTGTTTCAAAGCATTCAGCAACTCTGAGCAGCCCATGTATGGGAAGCGGATAGCTGTACTGCATCCAGCTGAAAAGCACACAAGCAAAACATGATTTCTTTGGAGTATGGCCAGAGAGCTGCACCTCCTGTGAAAGCACTGTGTCATCTTTAATGGTGACAAGTAGTCAGTTACTTGGCTTTTATGGGAGCAAATGGCAACTCCAGCCACACAATGCCCTAAAGCATTAAACTGCTACACAATGTTAATGATAATTGAGAACATTTCCTAATTAATTATGCATTCTGCAGCACAACGCAATCTTGTTTTCAGCAATACAATATAATTGCACACTTATGTGGTATATTGTGAACAACTTCCAATTTTAGCAAGCTACAGCTTTGTTTCCATTGTTCCTCATCCAAAATTTTAGAATTAGTATACCTCAAATCATGCAATTAAAAAAAAAAAAAAAACCTTTGGGAGTTCCCTTGTATTCCTTCTAGTTGTGAGCCTGCCTATTGTTATATGTTCAAGCTTTTCATTGTACTGAGGAATAGAAGTATGCTTTATCATAAATAAGAGCAGATATCTTAATGTGATCACTAGATTTCCATTCTTTGGAATTTAAGAAAATATATTATAGAAATTAAAACATTAAGAAGTGGGGAGAGTTTATTTCTGCCTGCCTCCTCCCAGAGAGAGGCTGAGACTGTTGCTGAAGAAACTTTCCTCCAGTCCTGTGTGCTTGATACCAGACCTCAGTGTTTTTATTAGTGTGATGGGAATGTACCTTAACACTGTCTTCATTTGTAGGTGTATCTGTGAGATCATTGTATTTAGATTCATTGATTCCATTAGAGCAATGTGCTTAAAAGTGTCAGATTCATTTCAATCAATTTAGATATTATGTAAGCATAGCAAAATGAACTGTATGCTAACAAAGAAAGAATGCAGTTTTTGACTACGGTTTTGGGAACACTGGTTTAAAAAAAAAAAAAAAAAGAAGAAGAATGAAAAAAATGACAAAATCTAAACGTGTAGCATATCTGAAGCTAATCTCTTTTCCAAACTGTCACTTGGGATTTCTGCAAGGCTTCTCTTAGCTGCATTAGTTAAGGCCAGCTCAACAGAGCCCTGCCTTAATGGCTCTGTCTTTCAGAGTGACTAAGTTCCTCTTCTTCTAAACGTGCTTCAGGATTATCATGCCGCCTCTATGTTCAATGAATCTTTAAAGCCTTTCCTGGAATTCTTGTGGAAAAGGTTCCATCTCGTGATTCCAGCATACCGTTTCCCAGCGTTGTTGTCTGAAACCAGTCTTGCTTCGCAGCATGAGCTCATTCTTGTATTGGCTGTCATTTTATATCATCATTATATCAAACTGCTTGTTGCTGTTACTGACTACCCAAAGGCATTTGCACCGAAAATTCACTCTGATTTGCTATTTCAAAGAAATTTCAGCTCATCTCTACGTTTACAACAGGAAAAAAAAGCTGTTTCCGTTATACATCATTAAAAACAGTTGTCACTCAAAGCTCCTAACCAGTTTTCTATCTGAAAGCAACATCTGTAAGTACCAGTGCAGTGAGGCAAAGAGAACTGAAGGGAGATGCCCAAGATCCCAAGGTAAATCAGTGACAGAGCTGTGAACCGAGGCAGCTCTTACCTGTTACGAGGCCATCCTTCCCCCTTTCTGTTGATCCTGTCGGTGCTGATAGCGATAACTTATTACAAACAAAAGCATGTGTTGCCTGACTTGCATGGTGTTTACCCTGTTATGGCCCTGTCACAGTCTATTATTCGCTCTTTCACCTTAGTCTAAACATCTGTTGCAGATCTAATTCTTAACTTGTAGAGATACAGCATCTCCAGAGATAAATGTTTAATTTATGATCATGCTTTGTAGTCCCTTTGCAGGTTTATTCAGGCACTATGGCTTGTCGTAGTTGAATAAATTGGATTTTGTAGTGTGCTCTTATAAAATGCCACACTTCTCTGATTTTAAATATGCTTCAGCATGACAACTACAGTGTTAGAGTGGGATACAGAGTAGTGGTTAGATATGTGGATTGTAGCTCCAGGTTTTATTATCAAGTCTCCCAATAGATTGTTATATGAGTCATAGACAGGTCATTTTCAGACTTTCTGTTCTTCCATTCCATATCTGTAGAATGGATGAGATTTAAGCTATATGCAGAATGTCTGTATTGATACACAATTTGTTATTTTTTGATCACCTAGGAAACAGGTATGCTTTCACATTTCATAGAGTGGTTGTTGCACTTGTATACACAAGGAACTTAGTTCCCTGTATTCTGTTAGAAGAAATGGATTTGTTCTCTGCTTCCCCAGTCTAATACAGAAAAAGTCAGGAGCGCTCAGCCTCTGGATTCTGTGTCTTCTAATATCTAAGGTGCATTAGAAGATGCACCTTGCAAGACTAGATTAGATTCTGGGTCTCTACAATGACTGAAAGTCTTGGAAAGGGAGGGAGGGAGCACATCAAGCTAGAGTCTAACTAACCAAAAAAAAAAAAAAAAGTGGTTGAATGAGCATTAATTACAATGTCTGAAAAAATTGTTTTGCAGATAATCGCCTTTGATGAGTTACGGACAGACTTCAAAAGCCCAATAGATCAGTGCAACCCAGTCCACGCAGTGAGTACAACCAGGAGCTTGCTAAGCAGTAACTACTAAAAAGAGGGAGATACACTGAGCTATCACTGAAAGTGTGAGTGTGGAAATGAATGTAGAGTCTGTTGTGAATATGATTGTAGTTCGCAAATTTGATTTATCAAGCCTGTCTGAGGCAGCCAGATGCCTGCTCTTTATGCTAATAGCTCTCTTTCCTGCTGGCAGAGACAAGAAAGCACTTTGAAAGTTTAAAATTTGAAGGACATATAATGTGATGCTAAAATTTCATTTTGTCTTTTCATTCTATGGCACCGATTTTCCTTTTTAAAAATCACTTACTTTCTCTGCTTTCAAGCATGGGATGACCACCTTCCTCAGTTTGGTCTGCATTGACCGGTCAAAGGCTTGAAAGGATTCAATAAGAGGTGCATTCGTAGACCTCCCTGTCTCATGACAGGACTCTTAAGTTCTCCTGTTCTTTTAAGAGTAAATAACTCATTCTGTTGCATCTGCTGTGACAAAGGTTAAATATTGCCCTACAAACGTAAAGTTGGTTTTACCTAATGAACCAAAATTCAACCCAGGTTTAAGCTTATGCAAATATTTCTTTAAATGAAAACTATAATTTAGAGTCATTTAGTTGACTACAGTTAAACTCGCATCAGATTTGCCCCACCATAACTGAAAGCAGAACTAGGCCCCATCATGTCACTTGGAATTACAATGCTTATGACAGGTGCTGAATTTGATCTCTACAGAGGATCAAGATGCTGAATTGCAACCAAATGATAATCAGATTCAGTAGTCAATACTGCCATTTAACCTTGTTGCATAACTCGGCAGAGGATTTATGGTACTGCTTAGGCCACTGATGATTTTAAGCGTCATTTTTACACGAGTCTTCGAAGAAGACTTGATTACTAATATGCAACCAAAAATGAGAACAGAAGAAGGAAATTATGAGAAGAAAGCCCAAAGAGGACCTTAATGGAAGTACTCTATTTAATTTGTAGGTCTTTTTACCAGTGGTTTTGAATTCACTTTATCTGATTTTTTGTTTCCATCTTGAGAAATGCATGCAGGAAACATGCCTTTATATGCACCAGATTGCCAGTCATTTGATCTCTTCCTAAAACTTGTAAAGTGATTAGATTAGCAGCAGAATTGGTCTCCATGATAAAAAAAAGTTAAAGTTTGTAAGTCCCTGTTTAAATCATGTTAGTGATTTAATTAACAAGTTAATTTCCAGAATTTCCTGTAAAGAGCTGCAAAATATTCTGTAATCGGTAGCATTATTTTAACTGCCATCTACAAAACTTAGTGATAACTCAAGCAATAATCTCAGCATGCCCTCTTCTGCACAGTACACTTGCTGGTGTGCTTTATATTGACAGGCAAGTTTTTATATGAACTTTTTCTTAATTTATATATTTCTTCTGATGTCCTTTCAAATGTAAATTGTCTTTTCCTCTTCCCTGTGCATACTCATTGGTGTCCACATTCCATCTATTTGACGGGGTAGTTAGCCTCATTGAACTGTGAGAAAGTCTGACATTCGCTCGTGTATTTTTCCACCATGTTTTCAAGAGGTAGGGTAGAGCATTTTATCAAGAGCAGGCTGAGTTAGGGAGAAATCAAAGGCAAAAACAGTGTCAGTGCTGAGAATTGAATTCAAATCTCCTGATTCACACTCTGTTACTTACAGTCCAAAGATAGACTTTCCCCAGCTGCAGTTAGGCATCTGTCTTCTAAAGGTTGTTGAGAGGGTTGTCTTTCCATCCACACTTAGCTCCCGCTGAAGGCAAGAAAGGTTTCTGCAGGAGCACAGGCATATCCACATACATCCAGTCTCATGATTACAACCATGAATCTAAAATTTCTGAAGCGCTTTAAGATCGTGAACATCAGAGAGCGAAGCGAGATCTGTCGTGTGTCTATCATTCTGCCGCTGTCTTTCCAAAATGATATACTTTTCTTTTAAAATGATTAAACTTGGGGAAGGGAGAGGAAAAGAGGTATTTCTTTGCAGAGTAGAAAAAAACCTCAACACTTGGAGCCGTTTTAAAATATTTGAAGAGCACAGTCTTAGGGAGAGTTTTCTTCTTGCACTGGTGCGTTCCATTAGCTGTTTAAGAAAGGTAACTGTTCAGAATAATTTTTCCCATGTCTAGAGGAAAATATTACTCTGTCATAAGTTTATGTTAAGATCTACCTCAATCCAGTGCTCTGACTTACTGTAAAACTGCTTTTAATTTCAAATTGCTTTGCAGCTACTGGGCACAGTATCCCAGATCAGTGCTGTGTTAAGCCTCGGTAAATGCAGATAAATACTGAAAGTCACTATAATTGAGCAGTCTGACTCTAAGGATGCTCTAAGCAAAATGCATAGAAATAATCAAAGACAGATTTTCTTTTACATGGCTTATAGTGAGAAATTGACCAAGAAAATCAGATTCCACTCTACCCGCTTGCCGTCACTGGAGATAGTGTGAAAAATGCTACTGCTGGTTACGCCGTTGGAAAGCAGAGTGGTTTTGCTGCACTATCTACGGTCAGACTGCTCAGTTCTAGTGACTGTCAGTATTTATGAATCCATTCATTGATTAAAGCAATATTTCTTGGACTTTACAAGTATTCTTTACTAATGGGTTAAGCTGTAATATCGCATGTAGCTCAGGCACCCTGTCAGTGATAGAGCCATACCACCTTCGCAGTTGTTGGTTGGAGGATGGGTAACTGAAAATGCAAAACCAAGTCTTTCTGATGTAGGTTGGCACCAGTGTACAGTCACAAATACTTTTTGCAGCCTGTAACTCAAGGCTAGCTCTGGCTTGAATCCCCACATTATATAATTATACCCAGTAACAGAAGAAAAAATAACTTACTGGGATATTGAAATGAGTAAGTTATTTGACTTGCAAGCAGTAGGTAAGAAGTGAATACTACTGGGTAAATTAATAATGTATGTCACTTCCTTGCACGCAATAATTATAATTTTTGACCCATTGTAATTGTAATATATTGTCTTTAATTTATAACACCAGCTAATCTCTCATCTCTTTTTTCCTACTTTTCTTTGACAGCGAGAGCGGTTGAGAAATATTGAGCGTATTTGCTTCCTCCTGCGAAAGGTGAGCATAAACTAGCTCAGGATTTGAGAAGTTTGAGAAGTAAAGCCATTGAGTGGTAGTCTACATTCATTCCCTCTTTGAATAATTCTCTCACCACAGTGATGAAAGGCTGAGTTCTACTGCAGAAGTGGAAATCATGGTGACTTTGTAAAGACAGAGTAAGACACGTTATAAAGACGTTAATGTGAGCTAGGATTTCTGGATAAGAACTGGCATTTCAGAACATCTGCCCTTTCATTTTGGAACATGCTTTTCAGAGGTGATGAATTATTTTGCAGTTGCAGCTTCAGATGCTTGTAACCATATCATCTGATGATATAATTTGTGAAACAGGCTTTAGAAATACTGTTTTCTGGCCGGGGGCTTACAAGTTGATAAATGAAACATTTTATTAACGACATATTTAGTATTTGAGTTTTCTAACTGATTGAATAGACAAGTTGAGATAATATTTATTTTGACTTGAGCCAAGGGAGATGCTGAGCGCCTCAGTTTCTGTGGGGTTTGAAGGAGCTGATAAATTGTAGGATACTTTCATAAGTTACACCTTTCCTCGGTAGCTTGAAAGTTAGCGGTCTGTCATCCTGACTCTGTCCCAGTGAGGTCAATATAATCATAGTTCCAAACTGTTCTGATTTATGTATTCAATTCTGTGAATTGCCTTTACCAGAAGAGTAATGGAGCCACCTAAATTGTTCTGCGTTTTTCCTTAAAAGATCATCAGTGAAGTACAGACTGGTGATTGCATTGTAGTCAAGCGAAAACCTAAATTCAGATATGTTTTAGAGTAACTGGTTGCCTTATCCTGAGAGCTTTTGGGAAAGCCAGAGCTAGGCGTTGTTGGCTCAGGCTGAACCAAGGACGTAACTGTGGCTGCACTCAGTATCTACAAAGTGGCATTCTCAGATGGATTGGAATTTGAGACCTATCTGTGTGGCACCATTATGAGCATGTAGCTGTCAGGAACCACATTTAAGTACTTACTTAACATGCTTATGACACAAGGGATGTGAAAAGGAGAGAAAATACTTATTATTAATAGCTTTCTGTTTTGTGAAATTAGCACCCAGCCAACTTCAAGCTGTGTCCCAGTTTCTTTGAAGTAAAGCAACCGGTGGGTGGTAATGGATTAATATATGTGAGCCCCGTGGGAACGCCTTGCCGGCATCAATGTTTAATTTCTATTGAGCCTCAGCCTCAGTGAACAGCAAAATGGAGCATTTTGGCTAATTGCAGACTCTGTGCTCGTCAAGGACTGGGTTGCTTCTGGTTCACTTAACTTAGGCGGAATTAACAAACTATTTATTTGGGGACACGTTTATTTTAACTGAGAGTTGTGATACAAGAGGAGGAAGGTGGAATAACTATGGTGATTTGTAGTCTTCAAATCTGACAATCACTAACAATAGCTATGGTCTACATAGCATAAAGGATGCACTGTTGAGGAAAAATGCTGGAAAAAGAGTGAAGATTTTGAGTGTCCATTATATAGATATAGGAAAATAGCAGTTAGGATGTTTTCACAAGCTCTGAATATATCTCTTATAATACAACATCGTTTCTTATGTGGCTTTTGGTCAGTTTCTTTTTTTATAAGATAGTGGCATATCTGTTTTCCCATGGCTTGAGGTCAGCTAATTCTTTTAAAGGACTTTGCAATTAATGATATCTTACTATTTGTGACACTGGGATTTAATGTTTAAGATCTGCTGTAAATCTATATTTTAAAGAGGTTTATAGGTGGACTATAAAAATGTGTTCAATTTCATTATAGCCTGGTTTAAAAAGGGTTCTCGGGAATTATTAAACATGCATACAATACTATGTATGCTATAGAAATCTGGTCCCAATGGGCAGAGTCTCCTAAGGATGGATTTTACTTGGAGGAGATTATTAGCAAACTGACTAGGTATGTGTTATGCCACCAGATATTACATAATTTAGCAACATTTTCTAATGTAAAATGGTTTTGGAAAGATCTTCTGCAGCCAGGCACTTTCTGACATTTGCTTTGGGGAAAAAGTTTCTATATCATTAAAGCAACAGTTAAGGGAGTGTGTGAAGTGGGTATATATGGTGTTAGCATGTATACAAGTATAGTGCTACAGAATAGAATTAGAATTAGGTCAGCTTAAATTTTCTGGTCACTGGAGAATGATTCTTTGTATAAAAAGAAGCTATGCACTTTGAATAGCCATGGACTATTTCCAAGACATGGAAACATCTTGTATCCTGATGTAAATGACAGGAAGGAATTATTTTCTGAAACCAGCATTATGTCAGGTTCCTTCAGGATACAAAGATCTCATCTCATTCAGTGGCCTGTTTTGGGGCTTTATAGTATATATTTGTGCTCGTGTGTGTGTGTGGTTTGAATTGATGAGTATTTCACTGTGTAGCCGTTGGTGCGTTACACAGCTGTTACGTGATTCACACAAGACACATGCTGCTAATGGTGAATGCTGTGCTGTCTGTATCTGTCTGTATCTCTTTTGCTAAATTTTGTCATCAGTTTCCTACCTGTCAGTGGTGCAGCTCTGCTGTTTGGGCTACCATAAAAACAGGATAAAGCTGATGCTTAAATTATCAGCAACTCATCCAGAAAAGCATACGCTACTGCTATTTCCAGTAGAAGTAACTGGTCTAGCAGCAGAGGGAAAGTTACAGGAACAGAGAGAAATACAGACAAAGCCACAGCGCTGACAAGATGGAGGAATTGTCTTTTCTCCACTGATCTTCCTGTGGCAAATCTCTTAAAGAGCTAGGGATAGGACTGAGTTCTCCTGTCCTCTGCTTGGTTCACTAGGCTCCTCGCTTGCATTTGTTTCTCTAAGGATATGCCCCGCGTGACACTGCAGTGCTGCACAGAGATACACAAGTGAGTTGTGAATGAGCTGTCTTGAGTCAGTGGAAGCAATACTGTGTTGTTTGGTTGGTGTCTTCCTGGGCTCCTTAGCCCTGCTGAGGAGCAGGATAGCTCAGGTGTGCCATATATATCTACTGTGATTTTAATGAATAAATATTTGGGTGGATTATTGAAACATATTTAGTAAATGGTGACAGCAATATTATTTTATAATTGTAATTGCAATTGTATTTCAAGAAATCTACCTACCTGGCTGATTCCTATTGGAAATACTTTTGTTAGCACTAAAGGCAATTAGGAATTTCTTACTTAAAAATATGGTCAGTACAATTAGTCAACCACTGTAATATTATTACTTTACCTTTGAGGACATTTAAATTAAGCTGTGAGTAGGTTATGACTATAAGCAACAGCATCATGATGTCTGAATTAAGCTGGCAAATCCTTACTCTAAGAAGGAAAGTTCATTGAACTTGCTTCATTCTCAGCAAACATTTCAGACTTTAGTTTACTCATGCCAAACACTGCTGAACAACATAAGTGACCTTTCTCAAAATAACAGGGAATGTTTGTTTTTAAACCCCATTAAACTCAAGTAAGAGTAATTTATGAACAGCAAAACTAGAACTAGAGCGTACCTGGAAGGGAACTGAGATAGATAAAAAGACAGATTTTTTTTGTTCATTTCCCTACTGCAGTGGAAGCATTTTAATTAGGTTGAGCATAAGATTCGTAAAACTGCAAGTATAAGAAAATACTGTACCAGAGCTCAACCCTTTACTCTGATTTTACTTGATTGGTTTTTTTTTTTTTTTGCACGTCCTAAAGGGATGATCAGAAGAGAATAAATTCAGCAAGAAATCTAACCACAGGCAAGGTGACATTAACCTCAAAGATGTTCCAGCTGAACTTGAACTGCCTTAAAAAAATAACAAAAAAATAAGCAACCTCCCCATACACACACACCGAGAACAATTTTTATATACGCAGAGTTACAGTCAGTTCAGCACTCCAGTACTAGCAGCAGCAACAGCCACAGGGAAGGGTAAATCAGGAGCTGGGGTGTTAAAAAACTCTCTTCACTTAATCCTTTTCAAAGTAGGTTTTAATGGTCTAGCTAGGAAGTTGGGGGTTGTCCAGGCTTAATCTGTTCTAGTAGTTCTGTCACTGTGTTTTCTAGTGAAGCTGCACGTGGGATAACAGTGTTAGAAATTTGTGTATTCAATTGTTGTGGTGCTTACCAGATAAAGTTCTGGGTTTTACTACCTTGCAAAAATAGAATCCTTCTTTCAGTTTACTTTATATTTTACAGCGTATTCCCTAATATACATCATAATTAGGTTTCAATGTATTTACAGGTTTTGGTTATTTGCACTTAAATGACAGTTAAGGAAGACATTCGGTTCAGACTGAGATATGGTACAGAAATAAAATTTAGTGAACATAGTATATAGTTATAATTCCAAACACCTGAGTGTCGGAGTAAAACTTAGTATATTTTCATTTTTAAATATACTGTAAAAAAAGCCCAAACCACTTATGTATGAAAGCAACAGTAATTTAGAGGCATAAGTAATCAGAAATTTGAAGGGTTTTGGGCTAACGCTACAGATTCAATTGTAGATGGAGAATTCCCAGGAAGAAGATCAAGCTTGATCTTGCATCTGTGTCATGCCTGATGTCAGCATTGAATACACATACTCAAAGCTCGGGAGAAAAGTAACCAGTGAAAGTTTGCTAACTTGCTGGATCAGTTAATAGGGGACAAGATTTTCATCTGCTTTTAACTTTTCCTTAATAGCAGATGAAAACATTAATTTCTCAGTGTGGAGGTTATTCTACTTTAAATGCAGATAAATATTACAGAAAGTCAGCATTTTTGAAGAGGTAGGCATGTCTCTCCTTCTTATTCATGCTACTTCTTATTCAGCTGACAGCTTCTTTCCTGCATATTTTGGATGAAGGAGGCTGATCAGTGTGTGCTAGAGTAATTGCCAAGTGAATTCTCTTTTGTATTTGTACCTTGTTAGGTTCCAGACCTTCAAGCAGCAATAGCTCCTACCCTTCTTTGCATGCAGTAGCTGTAGTGGCCATACCCCTTTGGAGAGTGCCACGTGTCCCAGTAACTGGTTTC